CCCTCCACCCCCATCCCCACCCACCCATCTCCTTATCCATCCATCCCCATACACATCCATCCATCTCCTTATCCATCCATCCCCATACACATCCATCCATCTCCTTATCCATCCATCCCTATCTGCATCCATTCATCTATCTATCAATCCATGACCATCGATCCATCCATTCCCATCCATACCAGTAGACATCCATGCGTCTCCTCATCCATATATCCATCCATTCCTCCCCATAGACATCCGTTCATCCATCCATCCATCCTTCCACCCCCACTTCCATCCATCCATCCATCCATCCATCCATCCATCCCCATAGACATCCATTCATCCCCACCGATCCCCCTTCAGAGCCATCCATCTATCTATTCGTTCATTGATCCATGCACCCCATGCACATCGATCCATCTGTCTAGCCACCCATCCAAACTCCTCCACCCCTGGAATGGCCGGTAGACGGGTTGTAGAGGTTGGAATCTGGGAAGCGTCTTCCCAGGAAGGTCCGGGCTGGCAGCTGCTGACTCCACCCACTGGAAAGCAAAGAGGGTGGGAGGGGAAGGAGATGGCACCCACGGGAGAAGCCGCTGACCTGTGATGGTGTCGGTGGAGATGGGGCCGAGGCGCTTGCGGCCGGAGACACCGTAGAGGTTGAACTTGTATCTGTGGGAGGGGGCCAGGTTGGTTACGTTGACCGTGCGGGATCCCCCGTCCACGGGCAGCTCCTGGAGTTTGCCCTCCGCGTCCTTGTATTGGAGGAGGAAGGAGTCGAAGGTCCCTTCCACGGTCCAGGAGAGCAGGATAGAGTCGTGGGTGACGTTGGAGGCTGAGAGCTCCCCAAGGCTGGGCTGGGGGGTGGGTTCCTCCTGCGGCACCGCGACTGGAACAGAGAGATGGGGGTGAAGAGCGTGGCCAGGGTTGGGGCATGTCTGGAAACAGGATCCCACATTCCCGGGTTCCCCACGGACATCCCGCCTCCCTGTCGTGGTCGGCCCATAGTGACGGGCACAAACCTTGGTGAGCGCTGAGCTGAGACGGGAGGAGAGAGGGGGAACGAAGAACAAATGACAGAAATGCATCCCCCCAAACACCCATCCACTTCCGTAAACTCCATCCATCCCCATACACATCCATCCATCTCCTTGTCCATCCATCTCCATCCCCATCCATTCATTTTTCATCCACTTGATCCCCATACATCCCCATACACATCCATTGATCTATCCATCTGCTCCATCCCCATCCACCTCCTTATCCATCCATCCCCATGCACATCCATCCATCTCTCCATCCGCTCCATCCCCATCCATCCATCCCCACTGATCCCTATAGCAGCCATCCATGTATCTTTTCATTCATTCATTCATTCATTCATTCATTCATCTACCCCATACTCATCTATCTAGTCATTCAATCTGCTTCATCCACTGTCTGTCTGTCAATCCCCCCATAAACTTCCATCCACACTCCTCTATCTGTTGAATGGCCGGCAGACAGGTCATGGAGGTTGGAGTCTGGGAAGCATCTTCCCAGGAAGGTCCCCGCTGGTGGCTGCTGTCCTCACCCACTGCAAA